GTATTTGAGCTTGATCCCCATACAAGGTGGAGAGGAGCAGCCAGCAAATGGTGTGCGGTCTTGGGTCACCAGCCTAAGCTCCACACTCCTCAGCCCCCTGTGCAGCCCACTGGTAGGAGCTGCCCCCTGCTTCCCCAGTAGGGGCAGGGAGCTCTGTGGCTAGCTGGAATGGCTGGCTGTCATGCAGGCAGCCAGCAATGTCAGTTACCAGGGATTTAGAACCTCTGCCCCCAGCAGGAGGGAACTATGGATGGGCTCCTCAATCGCTCCTTGCAGCACCACTCTCACCAGACCTGTGCCAACCCAATTGCCAGACAGCCCCACTTGCAGTCTGCTCTGGCCTCCTCCAGCCTCAAGCCAAAGGTGCTGGCTATGCTGGGAGCTCTCATAGGAGGCCCCACCCCCTGCCCCAGCCAGCCCTTTCCCACCATCCATAATTTATTGAAACAAGTGAGAGTCTATAGTCTTCATTTTTTTATGTCATTTAACTTCAGTTAAATAGAAATGCTTTTAAATAACTAACCATTACATGAAAACTCCCATGCCCCATGTCCATGTTTTTCCAACTTCTAGCTTGTTGTTCTGTTCTGCTTCGCCTCCAGGCATCCTGCTCCTCCTTCCCCCAACAGAGCAGGGAGAGCCTAGGCTCAAATATACCCCTACTTACCAGCCTGGTGGGTCTGAGCAGTGCTCTTTAGAAAGGGTGGTAACCCTTAATGTTCTATTTGTGGTAACCGTAACACCAGCTAACATTCCTTACAATTACCACTTGCAACTGGAGCATGTAATCTCATCCTTATTGGAAGGAGGAAGGGCAGTTGGGCAAAAGCAAGGTAAGAACTTGTAACAGTGTAGTGGAGACATCCTTGAAGTCAAAATAAACAATAGTAGGAGTGAGGTGAGTATACTATGCTCAGAACGGACACTTCACCCCACCTGTCTGATCTCACTTGCGTGCTTCAAATCCAGAGTCAACCTATTGATGCTGTCTCAGGGGTCCCCTATGCAACTGCTCTCAAGATTGTGCTTGAAAGAGGCTGCTGGAGGCAGGCCTGCAACAGCCTCACCAGTGCATTTCTAGGTTTGGAGCATGCAGACAGGACTAAGGTGTCTGGGGCCTGCTGGGTGTTAACATACTCTGGAATTCCTACTGCAGTGCAATAATAAACAACCTATTTCAGTGAGGGCAATAACCACACAAGGGTTGGTTTCCACATGCAATTCATTGTTGCTAAAACCTTTCAGGGCAGCTCTTTCAGTGAAGTTTTATAGAAGATGAAAGTATGTGAAAGCTCAGAACTGTTAGGAATGGATTCACAGTTTGTTCTCTGGCCCTAAATACAGACAGTCAAAAAGCCTGAGGCGGAATCAATTCAATCTTTGCAGGCTAGTCTAATCTGTGTAGATTGAACTAATTAGCAAGTGAACAGACATTTACTTTTGATCCTGGAAATGCAGCCACATGCCTGCAGTGGCTCAGGCCAGAAGCCAGCGGGTACTAGAATATAGGGTTGTGCGAAACAGCACCATTTTGTTTTGACTTCCATTTTTCCATTTCAATGGGACAGCGTTTTGTTTTGAGTTTCGTTTCAAAAGCACTCTTCCGTTTTGTTTTGTCAAAACTGTTTTGCTGTTTTGACACTGTTTCGATGTTTTGCCCATAGGCTAAAATGGGGAAGCACACAGCTGCAAATAACTTTGTCATTTCTTGCCTGATTTGGATGAAACTTGCAGGGATGGTAGCCCCTTCTACGGCCATGAAGCTTGCCAAGTTTCAAGGAGATAGGTGCAGGGGTTTCTGTGAAACTGTACCTCAAACTGTTCCAAGCAAAACTTGTATCACTTGTAAGTGTGAAGGCACAGAGAAAGCTCAGTTCAAACAATACCTTTTATGCTGTTTTTCTGTCCCTCCCCCAGAGCACTGGGATTGGAAATGACCTCAGGGGAGGATCACAGTTACTTGCAGGCTACACATGTCAATATCAGAGCAGTTCTTCCCCCCTCTTTCCCCTCCCTGTCCTTAGTTTCTCTTTAGCTGCAAGCAAGCTCAGCTTCAAAACTCGAAACATTTTGAAACTTTCAAAACATTTTGACTGTCCTCATTTTGTTTTGAGCCTGTTTCAAAGCCTTTCATTTCATTTTGATTTCACTGTTTTGAGCTCAAAACCTGTCAAAACAGCGTTGAAATGAAACAGCCAGTGAAATTTTGCACAGCCCTACTAGAATATGTCTCCCTGCTCCGCTGGAGCAGATAGCTTGGGCCACGGCTAACCTACTGCCCCTGCAAGGGGAGGTTTGCAATGGAGGTGCAAAACACCATGGAATGCTGGGGGACTGTGCGCTAACTTGAATCTGGAGGGGATCTGGGACAGAAGTTTAATAAACAGATTTAACTGAAATTAGTTCAGTCTGATACTACATGTTTTGATCCAGGTTTATCTTAAAGTGTTTTGGTCATTCTGAAAGCGATTTATGCGCACTGAACTTCTGTTATGTTAGAGATTTGGACAGGTTTCCGAACTCTTATACTGGCTTATGTGTAATTTCTGTTTCTAGCCCAAAGTATCTTTTGGGTTCCTACTACAACATAGGACCTGAAATACAAGGATAGCTTACCCAGTCGCCCCCTCTCCCACCATCACTGTTGATTCATATGCACCTCTACAGGATATTGTGGCCAAGAACTGTAGCAAAACAACTTGTGATATTAACCAAAAAAATAGACTTCCTTGCAAGTAGATCAGACCAGTCATAGTGATTTTATTTCCCTTTCTGTCCCTCAGGACCACTGTATTTAATTGTGGAATATGCAAAGTATGGCTCGTTACGCAGTTTTCTCAGGGAAAGTCGGAAAGTGGGACCTAGCTACGTAGGCAGCGATGGCAACAGAAATTCAAGCTACTTGGACAACCCAGATGAGAGAGCCTTAACAATGGGAGACCTCATCTCATTTGCATGGCAGATATCTCGAGGAATGCAGTACCTTGCAGAAATGAAGGTGCAGAGTTATAGCAATGAATTTAGCGTGTCGCTGTGATAGCCACAAATATATTAGTAGTAGATTTTTCTCCATGCTTTTTTTCCCCAATGGAGCAATAACCATGATGTTGGGTTTCTTTTAAAAGCTTGTTCATCGGGATTTAGCAGCCAGAAATGTGCTGGTCGCAGAAGGACGCAAAATGAAGATTTCTGATTTTGGCTTATCTCGAGATGTTTATGAAGAGGATTCTTATGTCAAAAGAAGCAAGGTACCACACATGTCTAGTAGTGTAACTAATGTGGGGTAACTGAGGCAGCAGCCCTATGCCCTGTTTTGGAGGATGGTGGTGGTGCAAAAACAGCAGCCACCAGAGCTGCTTGGCAGGCTGCACGCTACTGCCAGCAGCCATCATTCCCCTGTGTACCATCACTTCCCAGGATGCAGAGCTGCCTTGTTAGGCCTCTGAATGTTATCTCTGTTGCTGGGATTATTACTTCATCAATGGAGTGAGTTCACATGAAAATGCGTGAGCCAAGGCACAACTACTTCGCATAAAGAAGCGTGGAACAAAGGGTGAAGATTAAACAAAATGAGTGTATGCCCTGGGGCCAAAATTAAGCACCTAGACAGATAAAGACAGTGCTTTTATTATCAGGGGGAATATTTATTTGTGTTTCTTCTTCTCACATGCAGTTACAACTGTAGTGTACTCTTATGCCCTATCTCTGTCCATCTGTAATGCAGTAACACATCTGCTTAGAGCATGGGTAAAAGTTACCATATAGATTTCTATATGAGCAGTCTACATCCTGGGGGGTGGGTTAAAACCCTGGACTGTTTCTAGAAAGCATATTTCCATGCATTCTGTAACCTGAGTTTGTCTTGATCCTTTTATTATGGGTATGATTTTCACACAGAAATAGTGCACACTATATTAATGATATTGAAAAATATAATAAAAGATGGTCCTATTTTATTTTAATTTTTTTAGCTAGTCATTTTGTATGGCTGTTAGTTTGTAGGCTACTTAGTGTTTCATATGGCTGTTCCTCACATGCATCTAAATTCATCTTGCTACTTTATCTAAATAAGACATTATTTTCTCTTCACCCTTTTATAACTGTCAAGCTAACAAAACAATATGTAGAAAGATCTGATCATCCTTTAAATCAGAGTGCGTTCTGAGTCTGAATGCTCCAAATGTGGAATGTCAGTCCAGATCCTAATTTCAGAAGAATTGTTCTCCTTCTGGTGTGGATGAGGCTCATAAGTACTCTGAAACATACAAAATCCTAATCTAGTGCCAGAGGTTGGGCTCATCTCTGATACAGAAAATAGACATAATAGGATGGCTACAGATGTAGAATGCCACATAATCTTTAAAGCAATTCTGTTTTGCCCATCGCAGTAAATTATAATTAACTGTCCAGAAATAGCCTAGTTTGCTTATGGCGCTTGTGGCAGTATTCAGCATATGGTAACATTTCATCAGTAGGGCAGTGCAAAGGAAATTTGATGGAGAGCTGCTCCTGTAGTATTAGGACAGTTTCTCTCATTGTTGAACCATATCACTGCTTTCCCTAAATACAAGTACTTTTGCATGCCAAAACAATGGAATCTAGTTGTTAGCTATTCTTGTAACAGATATGGTCATTAACAATTAGCAAACCTAATTCTGCTTTCTGTGAAGTTGCCTGCATACATACAACTGATTTTGGGGCTTTTGCATATAAATTTGAAGTTAGATGGAAGTTCAGACTGTGAAGGTCAGCACAGCCAATAATTCAATTCAGTGTGAATATACTGCTAGTACAAAGTCTCACACATGAGAATTTCAGATTTGGATTTCCCCAGATATTTAGATACAGAAGTGACCATGGACAAAGCCCTTTGATAATATCACCTGTGGCATTTCTTATACAGCATGAGATGCTGCTGTACTGAGAGAGGCCATGACGGCTCTGCAAGTATTAGCTCCTGAAATAGGGGCAGAATAGCCTCATTGGCACAGTGATGCTCATGCCATTAAGCTTTGCTAATATGACTGTACTGCTCCCAGTTTGCTAACTTTTTGTGCACATGTATAGACATCTAGGTTAACTAAATTTGCCATGTAAATCATCTGAACATTATTCTTTATTAACCATGTGAGTCTCTTCGGAATCTGGACCTCCTGTGAATGCATGGAAAAGTTCAGCAATGATTAGAAAGAGGTTTTAAGCTGTGTCCTGTAACCTGTTGTGTTCATTTAATGAAATATCATGTTGTTCAGTCCACCATGCTTGCACATTGGCAGTACAGTTCAATAAATAATCTTTTATCATTCCAAAGGTAAAAGAACATTTTCTCATTCAGTAATTTTGTTGCTGCTGTTTTTCTCTTAGGGTCGGATACCTGTCAAATGGATGGCAATAGAATCTCTGTTTGATCATATCTATACAACACAAAGCGATGTGTGAGTCCAAATTGTGTTCATTATAGATTCCATGTTTATAGAATTTAATAAACTACTGTAGTATTCTTACCAGTTATAGTATATATGACAAAAACAAACAAAAATCAGAGACCAAATGTTAACTGTACTAGTGGTGGTGAAGTATACAAAACTTTTGAAGTTGTGGGCTATCCATTAAATACAAGACTAAGATCCTGGTCCTCAGAGGTTTTGAGGTGTGTAACTCCCATCAAAATCAATGACTTTGGGGCCAAATTCACATTCAACATCTAACCTTTCAGACTTGGGGGCCTAAATCAGTAATACCATCAGGTTGATGCCCTTTGATATTATAGTCCTAGGTGAAATGAGATTTAGTGGACATAGTTCTTTTTGTAGTTGCCAAGTGTCTACATCCTAGAACCTAAGTCTGTGGGCTCAGTGACAGGACTAGGGATTTAGAGCCTCTGCTCCTATTCAAACAATCAAGCCAGTGCAAAAACCCCAACATTATTGAAAGCAGGATTAGACTCTTTGTGAGCAGCCTCTTCCACTTCCCTGCCTGTACTCTGGTCTGCCACAGCTGGACCTGAGCTGGGACACACAGTGCACAGACTCTTCCACCTCCCTGCCTGGCTCCCTGTTGGCTCTGCGCAGTCCTGGCACCGTGGCTGCCAGCAGCTGGGCCAACATGGGCTGAGGTGTGATGCAGCATGCTTAGTAGCCATCCTACCTGCCCACCATGATGAGCTGCTGTCCTCGTGCTGCACTGGGAAAGTTGGGGGCAGCTGCCTGAGGCTGAGCCCCCCGTGGCCAGCACAGACTCACCTCTTAGTGGTACCACAGCAGCAGCAGCAGCTCATCACAGCAGGTGGGCAGGTGGGATGGCTGCTCACTGCACCACATTGAATCTTGTCTTGTTTGGGCTTAACAGCCACAGTGCCACAACTGAGCAGGCAGCGCCAAGAGGAAGCCAGGCAATGGTGTGGATGCGGGGTGGGGGGAGGCGGGTGGAGGAGTCTGCACGCTGAGCGGCCCAGCCCCAGCTGTGGCAGAGTGGAGCGGAGCAGGGACAGCCCTTCCTTCTCAGGCTTCCAGTGGCAGTCGGTGGGCCAGATGGGATCAATTGGTGGGCCTAATATGGCCCGCAGGCTGTATTTTGCCCACCCCTGGTCTATAACATTGAAGACAAGAACAGTGTCCAGTTATTCTTAAGAGATGTGCGGAGCACATCATGTTACGTCCCTGTCATGATGAAGTTAGATGATCTCCAGTGTGTTCATACTGTGTTCTAGTTGTCTGGGAGAAAATCAGACAGCATATGGAGAATCTATCCTGTGTGATGCAAAAAGGAGATACCCAACAGAGAAGAAAAGGAGTTCCTAGTGTGAGACACTCCTGCTTTGGATGTTAGTGTTACACATGCAACCAAAAAATATCTCCTGTTTCAACTGCTGAGCCAACCACAAACATCTGTCTTTTGTTGGGGTCTCCAAGATCAACCCTTCTCAGGAACCAAGCTCCTCAAGGGAGAATCTCCTCGTCCTTATGGGCACTGGCTGAAGTGCTATTTTGTCACATGATTGGCTGGTGAAAGCACTCTACAGCTGTGCACTGACAAAAATGCGCAACTGCAAAGTACTTTTAAAAATGTGCAACAAATTAACCCTCATTACATGAGGGTTCAGATGAAGGTGCTGCAAAGCAGAGTGCCTTCATTAACTTCTGTCAATGCACACTGGGAGCAGGGCTGGGCTGAAGCAGCCAAGCCCCATTCCCAGTGCTGTCTTCAGGATGGGAAGGGAGGGAAGTGAGTTCTGGCTAGGATTTGCCCAGCCTGGGATGGGGGTTGATTGGAGCCTCCCCTGCAAGGTGAAAGGCTCTAATTCCCATTCCCTTCCCCCCCAATCCAGCGGAGGCTGGGCAAACCCCAGGATGGATCTCCCTCTCCTGCCTTCCCCCCCCACCCATACTGAGACAGCACCAGAGCTGGGGGGGGTGGGGAGGGAGGAGGGGGGAGGGCTAGAAGAGACTGCAGACATGCAGCCTCTCTTGTTGGATTGACTCCAAAGTGAAACTTGATCCTTCATCCTCTTGATCCAACAGAGAATGTCTGTGGGGTTGGGAGGGTTGGTTTATCTCATGGCATTTTCTGTGAAGCGCCATGAGTTAGACTGGGGAGTTGCATGTCTGTCAGCACCCTGTGTGGGCTGCAATCCCCTGATATTGACCAGACTAAGCAGGCCTGACTTTGGCTCAGACTATGCTATTCTATTACCTTAGGGAGCAATGACAGTGCTAACTTGAGACAGGACAGACACCTTAAATTAAAAAATAAATTATTTTGAACAAAAGCAGTCTTGGAAAACAGACATTAAACCTGTAAACCCATCAAGTCATATACCTTCTTTACTCTAAGGTTTGATTTATTTTTATTGAACTATTTTTGACAAAAAAAGTTTTCATCACAGTTTAAAATAAGCCCATCAAAAATATGTACCCATTTTAATGAAACTTTGTTTATTAAAAAAGGTTTTTTTTTAATGATGTCCTCTGACAACACTTTCAGAAAGGAATACTTTGACTCTGTTTTTTATAATTACTTTTTTGTAAACAAAATTCATATTTGCATTTTTAAAGGTTAAAGGCCAAAATTAAGAACAAGATGCTCTAATTATATAGAAATAAAATATTTTGATTGACCAAAATAATTTTTCATTTTATTTCACAAAAAAATCATTTTTATATTTGTATTTCCATTTCATAAAAGATAAAAATGAAATTATGGGATTTTCTCAGAAAATTCAGTTCTCATCCAGCCCTTATTATTTGCTGGATTTGATAAATGATCCAGTATTTCAGTTTTTTTTACAAAACATCTTTCTGTGTCAGTCTATTCTCTGACAACTGACACCCTTGTTTAGAGTTCTTTTAATCTTTGCATTCTCAGCTGTGGTAGTGTCTTTCTGTCCTTTTAGTTTGTGGAAATTGTATTAAATCACCCTAAAGTATACAGTGATTTTGTTTCACTGATGAGATGACCAGGTATTCATGGTATTACTAAATATCAGTATCCCTAGATTATTACATAGCAGCTCCTTAACCTTTATAACTTCTCCAGAATTCCAGAATAGAGTTGAGACACATGTACAGGTTGTTATTGCAGTAGCAGTTTCTTGGACTTGAAGTCCAACACTCGCAAACTGAAGAAGGAAAGGGTTACTTTTGGGGAGAACTGTGAGGTTTGTTTTATATATTTACCTACTTTATGGCAAACGTAATCAAAAATACTAAATTCATTCCAAAATGTTGGATTAACCTCAGTAATTCTATATTTCTTTTTCTCCAGCTTCTTCCTCTTAAGATGTTTGTATATAGTTAGCAATTGGCATTGCTCTAATAGAAGTACAGCTTGTCAGTTTTGATAATTTTTTTCCAATCCCATTACAAAACCCATTTCACTTCATAGGTTGGAACCTAGACAAATGCAGTGTCAGCCCACAGTCATCTTGTGTGTATTTTTCTTTCCATCTCTGAGGGCTTTTTATTCATCCACAAAGATCATACAATGGAAAATCTATCCTCCCCTCCCCAACCTAGTTAATTGTCACAATTACAAAAATAAAGTCCAATATCTGAACATTTGCCAAAGAAGTGGAGCTAATGGAGGGACTACTAACAAGTTACACCCTATTACAGTGTGTTGGAAAAATTCACCTTTAACAAAGGACAATTTTGAAAATAAAGCCTAGTAATACCACATATCCTGTTTGGATTAATCACATAGGGAATTATTCCCTGATGGGGCCCAAAAAAGGATTGCATGAATAAGAAGCATAAGGGAAGAATAGAAGGAATTAATAAAGTGCAGTGGAATGTTAGTAATATGCATTAGCTTTTCAGAACAGACAGACTGTTGAAAAATGAATTTACAGAATATTAGCATAAGAAAAAATCTGTTTAAGTATCATCTAGGCCTGCACAAGACTAGTCATTTATTCTGTCTTGAACACACTGTGTGTACAACCATTTTAAAGTTTTCATGGGTCCTGGCTCTGAGAATGTCACTTCTCTTGTTAAAACAAAAACCTTAAAGAATTATGAGGAGATGAGTGAAAGACAGTCATATAGAGGACTGTCTATGCTAAAATTCTGAAATGGGATTTTCAAAGGTGCCTAAGGGAATTAGACACCTATCACAGACATGTTGTGGATCTGTAACTCCTCTTAGGTCCCCTTCAAATGTGAAGCTTTCACAAAAATTAAACAACAGCTAGAAAACAAGTGGGCATTTGTTGCAATTTTTGTTATTTTGCTCAGCAGGGCATCCCATCAAGCTTATACAATGAATGGAAACAAGTGATTTTGGCTGTTTTCCCAGACCTGTCATTGTGAACATTCAGATTCTGAGGGGAGTTTAAATAGGGTCTAGATTAGATTATTATTACCTGTCCCTATCTTTCTGATATAAGGGAAAAGCCTCAAGCCTTTTATGCATTTGTTTGTATCATGGTATTTGTGTCATTACTCTTCAAAAAAAAAAAAAAGGTAGAAGAAAATTTTTTACATTTCCTATTTTTATCATAACTTCAGTTGTTTATTGTGTATTTCAAATTTCCTAAAGAACTGACCAGTTCTACTTTCTACCAGCAGTACTTCTGCTTTTACGTTCCTGATTAAATAAATTCATGCAAATAGGCCTACTGGAATTTTATTGAGGTGAATTATATGACATTAAAGTGCAACTGAGAAGGATGAGCCCATAGTTGAGGATGAGATACTGAACTCAGACTAAGGAGATACTCATTAAGCTTCCAAATTTACCAGTTTCCTAGACAGCCTTGGCAAGTTACTTTTATCTCTGAGTGCTTTAGTTCCCAATCTACTTCTTGTATAATGTGTCACCTTCTCCTACCTCTAGTTTGTCTTTTTTCTTCAATGTTTTAAATTTTGAGGAAGGCCGACTTCTTGCTATATGCTCAGTACCTAACAAAATGAGGCTTTGGACTTGGTTGGGATCTCAAAACAATACAGTAACGGATGCTTGTTGGTTAAGGGGCCATGCTATCCTCTTAAACTCTAGCGGTCCATGTGAGTGATTATTTCTTTTTTTCTCAGATGGTCATTTGGAGTTCTGCTCTGGGAGATTGTAACCCTGGGAGGTAATCCCTATCCAGGTATTGCTCCCGAAAGACTCTTTAACCTCCTAAAAACAGGCTATAGAATGGAGAGACCAGAAAACTGCAGTGAAGAAATGTAAGTAGATCTTACTTGGGCACGTTGATAGAAATGTCTCTGGAAGTAAGGTTGTTTAAATAACAGCCATCTCCAGCATAACTTTTACGATACATGCAGATATTCACCCCACTTGGTCTACAATCACCCTGCTTACTTTAAACTAGGTGATCATAGGTTGGGAGTGATGTGTGCCAATGTTTGTTGGTTCCAAGAGCCATTCTGCAAGCCTGGTTTAAGTAACTCAGGGTGGGGAAAGGGGCAGACAGGATGAGGGGGGCTAGTGGGTCCATGGGGTGGGGGTTCGGATTGTGGAGAGGGGCTGGTGAGTCCATGGGGGTGGTGGTGGGTCTATTGGGGGTGTTGTCCATCCAGCGGTGGTGGGGATTAGGAGGATAAAAATAGCCTAGTCAGAGATTGGGGGGGGCAGGAGTAGAAAGAGAGTAGCCCCAGACTGAAGCATGCAGCTTGGCTTTTCTAGACCCAGCTGCACTCCCAACATGTGCAAACATTCACTAGATCAGCCATTCTTTTCCAATTTTAACCTCCCTGAACTTCTGCAGAAATCGACATTAAGATCAACCTCAACATAGTTAAGTCCATCTAAGTGTAACATCTGCACATGGGTAACTCAGGGGACAGAGTAGTAAAAGTAAGGAAATTGATCTAATAAACAGGCAGAAAAGTGGGATGAGGTTACATATGTAAGGAGGATGAAAAGAATTACAATACAAGTGCCTGCAGCTATTCCCAAAATGCTTGCAGGAAACTGACTAATGTACTCTCCAGGCAAAAGAAAAAACATTACTTGAATATTCAAAAGTGGAGGGAGGAGAAATGTAATATAGTGATGCTTGAACTCTTCAAGATATAGTCTGAACACTTTCAAATCCTGGAAACTTGGGGCATTTATACACATGCTCTGGGAGTGGGTTGGGGTGAGTAGAGGGCATGCTTTAAATAGAGTGGCTCTGAGAGTCGCTGTAATTAAAGTGCCTGGAGTATCTTGTTTTTTGGTGTCCCCATGCTGAAAAATGGTGGCGGGGGTGTTTTAACTAAAGCTCATTGAATGAGCTTTAATTAAAGCACCCCGCTGCCATTTTTCAGCACAGAGACGCTGATACACAAGATGCTGGAGTCTACAGGAGCATGGTAATTACCATGCTCCAACAGACTCAGTTAAATGAGTCTGCTCTGACGCGCTGTAAATACAGCACGTCAGAGCATTCTTGCTGCTTGTGTATAGGCATCCTTGTTGGTTTTCTGAAAATTAGAAGTTTTATTTTCTGGGCTCTGTCTGCTCATTACATATAGATTGTTAGGTGTCAGACCTTCCTGACAGTACACAGGATAGATTCTCTGGAGAGAAATAGCCCTGTAGAGGAGATATCTGGATCTAAAAGTCAATATGGCTGTTGTCAAATCATGAGGTCTTTGTGTAAACCAAGCTAGTTTCTCTCTGACTGCCAGACAACTCATGTTGTATCATTCACCTAGGCTAGGGACAGACATTCAAAAAGCCTGAGCCTGAATTGATTCAATCTTTGCAGGTTAGTCTAACCTGCAGAGATTGAGCCGGTTTGCAGTTGGATAGACATTTGCTTTTTATTCTGGAAATCAGACCAGTAGCCCGGGTGAGCTAGAGCAGCCCTTTTCTTCCACAGCGAAGCTGAGTTGAGGGGGGTGGGAGGGAAGGCGGGCATGGTCAGGCCCCAGCAGGCCTGAGTAAGACTGAGGAGGGGTTTAAACCCCAACCTTGGCCTGCAGGGTTCAGAGGGTGGAGGAAGAGGGAGCGTGGCCAGATCACTGTGGCAGGAGAGGAGGAGGAGGGGAGAGCTCTGCCCATCCCAGCAGCTCCTTCACAGCCAGGAACAATCCCAGCATACAGCACTGCCCAGCCCCAGAGGGGAACTCTTCCCCCTCCTCCCTCTCCCCCATTGCTGCAGGGGTGGGGAGGGGGGCTCTGTGCGAGGCTTGCAGGCCCCAGAAGGGAACTCTTCCCCCCGCTGCTCCTCTCTCTTTCCCCCCGTGGAGCAGGAAGCAGGGGCTCTGTTCAGTGGCGGGAGTGGACTCTTCCCCCTCCTCCTCCTACCCCCATTCACACCACATTGCCATGGGAGGGAGTGGGGTTTCTGTTCAGTGCTGGGGAAGACTCTTCTTTCTCCTCCTCTTCTTCTATCCCCCTTGCCCGTGGGGCAGGGAGAGGTGCCTCTTGGAGGCACCGCAGGGGCTGGTGGGTCCACAGCAGCCTGTGTGGTGGGCAGCTGCCAGGCTCTGGGCCTGCTGGTGCCTCCAAACTGGCCTAGCTAGCAGCTGCTGGTTGCATGCTGGGCCGGACCAGGCTGCGCTCTGTGGCAGGGCTCAGTGTCCCTGCCACTGAGCTGCAGCTGCCGGGGGTGGCCCTCCCCTGCAGCCCGGCCTGGCCAGGCCGTGTAGCTGCACTGGCCAGGGCTGGGCAATGCCAGTCTGAGCTGCAGGGGTGGGGCCACCCCCAGCAGCTGCGGCTCAGTGACAGCCACTCCCCACAACCTGGCCGGTCTGGGCTTGGCAGGACCACACATAACGACAGGCACTCTCTGCGCCCCAGCTTGGCTGGGCCAGGGAGCACCTCACAGAGCCACCCCCCTTCTAGCCCTGTGGCTGTGAGGGACAGGGGGAGGAGGATGAGGGGGAAGAGTGCTCCCTAGCACTGAACAGAGTCCCCCTCCCTACCCCACAGGGGGAAGAGTGCCCCTCCAGGGGCCGGGCAGCCTTGCAGAGCCCCCCTCCCTGCTCTCTGCGCCCCAGCTTGGCTGGGCCAGGGAGCACCTCACAGAGCCACCCCCCTTCTAGCCCTGTGGCTGTGAGGGACAGGGGGAGGAGGATGAGGGGGAAGAGTGCTCCCTAGCACTGAACAGAGTCCCCCTCCCTACCCCACAGGGGGAAGAGTGCCCCTCCAGGGGCCGGGCAGCCTTGCAGAGCCCCCCTCCCTGCTCCACAGCAGTGAGGGGGAGGGGGAGGAATCCCCCTCCAGCACCTCCACACTGGTGGCCCCCCCCCCCCCCCCCCCCCCCGCAGGGGGGAGGAGGAGGTGGAAGAAGCATCCCTCCCAGCATGGAACAGCATGGCCCCGCCATGGCCTCGTTAAGGTGAAGAATGAATCCCTTCGGGGCCATGCCAGTCAGTGTCTCACTACAGCTGGTCCCTGCTCAAGTTAGAGAGCACAGGGGTGGGGCCAGTCCTGCTCCAGAGCAGAGAGCACAGCCTAGCCCAGAGAGTATGCTGGGATGCTGGAGGACTCTGGTTTAACTTAAACAAGGAAGGGGTCTCACTGCATAAACGAGTTTGAGCCAAATCACTTAAGTCTGACAGTACATTCAACCAGGTTTATCTCAAACCACTTTTGGCCATTTTGAAACTGGTTTATGTGCACCAAATGTCTGTTCTGTTACAGGTTTAAACCTGTTTCTGATCACTTAAACCAGTTTATGTGTAATATCTGACTCTAGCCCTAATGAAAAACAAATAGTTCATTTCCCTGAATGCATCTGAGGATGAGGCACCCTGTTATAAGCTCAAAATATGGATACATTTGGGAAATGATCGCTAGGCTCTGCTTAGTCATAGTCAATGTAGGGTCCTCAGTGACTCATTTTTAACTATGGACATCAAGAAAGACCTCTTCTCCTGGTCTCTTTGAAGGATGTTTAAGCGCACTTGGGAAGTAAAAAACAGTATAACTTGTACAGTCATTTTTTGTTTGGCATGATATAAACAGAATGCCATCAAGATGCAGTGAATTTAGTTGTAATCAGAAGCTAAAAAGTCCAAACATTCTACAGCAAAATGAATATTCAAAATGATTTACACTCCTCCCCTTCAGCAAGCAAGATGCTTTCACTTCAAAATAGCCCCTTCCCCCCAGTTATGCATGTCATGTATTTGTTTTCCCAGCCCCATGATGGTTTTGTTGTAGGTTTGTTTATTTCTTTTCTTCCTTTTACATGGTAAATCTGGGCAGGTTTTGTTTTAAGCTATTAGAGTATACATATATTAAGATAAACTACTTAAACTTTTTTCTATACCTGTTCCAAATTATCAAAACAAGCAGTGGGGAGGTAATGTATCCCACAAGGTTGCAATGCTTAGAAAGATTTCCCCAAACTTTTCTGTCATCTTATTTAATCTTTAATGTATTACATTCCAAAGAAGCAACATAAAAAAACAAACAGTGTAGGTTATGAAGCATTCAAAATGAAGCAGTCAAAAGTTAGGAAATTCCAGGAATACAGTTGCTTGTTAAACCGTAATTCTGTCCCCTCCTGTTTCTGTCTTGCATTCTGAATGAGGCTATTTCCTAGAGGGACAACATAATTAAGAACTGTATTATAATACATACATACAGGTATAATCTGATGTTGCGCTGCTGGAAACAGGAACCAGATAAGAGGCCAACATTTGCTGAGATCAGCAAGGAATTGGAGAAAATGATGGTGAAGAGTAGGGTAAGTCTTTTGCAATCAGAGTTTTCAAAAGTTAATAAAAACTAGTTGACAGATTTTTCTCATGTATAGAGAAATACAGGGTAAGGGTTTGATCAGAAGGGTTCCAATTTTAATTAGGATTTTAGGTATCTACAAACATGGTTTGCGCTAGGTAGCATGTAACTTTGGTTAAAGTAGTTCAGTTTTAAATGATGTAGTGAATGTCAAGTCTTAAATGTGTACAATAGATGTTTTTTTTAATCTGTGTAGTTTCCTTAATAATTTTTAGGTACCTCTTGGTAACAATGTAGAGTTAATATAAACTGCTCTACTGAATAATCCAGAAGTTGGAAGCAAAATAAATAAAATAAACTGTGTGAATGAACAGAACGTTGTCAAGTAGGCTCCCTATAGGCCAGAAAATGTGGCAGTGGCAATTTAATACTGCATCTTTTCCCTGCTGGAAAATTCCCAAACCCCTTGCAGTCAGAAGCGGGGCTGGGCTATGCCCCCTTCAGCTTGTGCAGCCAAGTCAGGGCCAGGTCACACCCCCATCCTCCTGCCTGGCTGTATAAGGGCTAGGTTGGTCCCTCCCCTGCTGCTCTTCACAAGATTTGGCCCCACTACTCCTGCTGGGTTGGGCACATGGGCCAGATCTGACCTGCAGATGGGCATAGGATAAAAAGCTTGAGCACCACTGATGCAAGGTTTCATTCTGACAGTGGATATCTTAAGGTCCTGATAATAGTAACAAAATATTAAAACTAGTGGTTTTTACAGTCTAACCTACTTTAAAACTATGAGAATCCCATAGAGATTTTCTTGGAAATTCAAAGGATTGCAAATTCAAGGATTTCTGGTTGATAGCGGTGTCTTTACACAGCCACAGCTTTCATCTTATGAAGGACTAAGCTCTATGGTCCTAAATCAGGAAAACGTATACATTTATTTGATTCTAGATCTGTGTAGTCCCTAAATATCTTGAATGATAGATGCCATAATGCACAATACACACACCTGTAGCTTTGTCTACCCAATACCCCTGCACACACATTTGACTGGACTTGGACATGGAAATTATGTACGTTCAAATCATTGGTGTGTGCTGGACCAGAGACATGTAGAGATGAGTGAATGGGACATGCACACAAAAGTGGAGGCTGAGGTCTAAAAATAAAGCAGTATGGATACATGTATCTATATATAAAAGCAGTGTTATACAAAAACAGTAATGTTTTCACTACCTCTGGTAGCTTTATTGTTACAGATCTAACACACAGTACCTATATAAACAGATTTCGGGCTTAAGGATGTGCTACTGTCAATAAAGCTGCTGCCACATTTATCTAAGTAAAAAGAAAGAAACAATTTATGTTGAAAACAAATGAATAGAAAATAATTATTTTCAAAATTAAAAAGACTATTTTGAGAGAGAGATGCATTTAATAAAATATATTTAAACGTAATTATTAAATATATTTGACAGCCACTAATTTATATCTGCTGCATATGTTGCAAACAGACTATCTGCAATATGTAGTCAATACAGTTGGTCTAATAAAAGATATCACATCTACCAAAGAACCTTGCCTGCCTAGTGAAAGAATAGTAATACAAAATTGGATAATATTCCTAAAGAGAGTGTGTATAAATGGATTTCTTGGTTTGCTGGATGAGCAGAAATTGGGGAGGGGGAATCTATTTGGGGTTCATGATCTGAGACGACTATTTTTAATTTTTGCTTCTTAAAATGGTAATTATTTTGAGTTAAACTAAATGTTATGTTTCATCCATCACAGAACATTCCATTTAATTTTGCACTTTGGGAATTCATCTTTTAAAAAAAATTGAATTATAGTAATTTTCAAAATAAAATACCATTTTGAAATGAAAAATCAAGATGTTTCATTTAGAAAAAGTAGAAGGAAAGCATTCCAACTTCATATTTTTTAAGCATTTTTCATCAGTTGCAAACAATTTATACAATTGGCAGGATTTATAAGTTGTTTTGGTTGACCCAAATATTTATTTTTATGTGAAAAAAAAAATCACCCCAAATCTTTTCCATTTCTGTCATCCTATACACAACTATGACATTGCGGCAAAATTATGGGAATGCCTTGCAGGCCTTGTGGAAGCACCATTTTTCTCCATTTACATCTCAAGGAAAAGTGAGAATAAACAGTACATGTCTCTAAAGCTTTGAATGCTGTCTTAACTTACTGGCAAGTATAGTTAAACATAAGGGCATAAGAAGTGCCAGAGTGCATCAGAGCAGTGCTCTGTCTAGCTTAGTATCGTGTTTCGGACAGAGGGTAGCAGCAGAGAGAGAGAGAGAATATGAATGGGGCATGTTTTGAGTGATCCATCTCATCATACTTTCCCTGATATCTACCATCGATTTAGGGATGTCAGAGGATATGTACGTTCACTGCGCTGTTTAATAACTCTCAATGGACCAGTTCTCCATGAATTTATCTAAACCCTTTTTGACCCTGGTTATACAACCTGCTCCTACAACCTTTTGCAGCAACAAGTTTCACAAGTGAACTACACACAGCGTAAAAAAAGTGTTTCCTCTTGTTTGGTTTGAACCTGCTTCCTGATAAATTCAGTGTGTGCCCGTTAGTTCTTGTATTCTGGTACTTGGCAAATAACAGCTCTCTATTTTTAGTTCTCATTTTACCACATCCTGTATGATGTTATTGACCTCTATCATATTCCCCCCTCAGCCTTCTCCTTTCTAAACTGAAGAGTCCTTTTTGGTCTCTCCTGATTGCATCTGCCTCATATATCTAATCATCTTTGTTGCCTCCAAGAGCATATTTCTGTGGAGCACTCAGAGAACATATTTCTGTGGAAGTATATCTGTTGGTTGTGCAAAGATGAGTGTTACCAAAGATAGCACACTTTACAGGAATCAAGAATCTAAGGCAAATGCTGCTGATATTGTCAAAAGGATGCATGTTTAGCCTGTAGTTGGTCAGTTTAGGAACCACTGAAATTTATTTAGCAGCTTTTGCTGAGGAATAACATTGTCAGATATAGTAACCCAGCCTTTTATTCATTTATTTGGTAGGACTACTTAGATCTTGCAGCTTCCACACCCTCTGACTCCTTACTTTATGATGACGGGCTCTCAGAAGAGGAGACTCCCCTCGTGGACTGTAATAATGCTCCCCTCCCTCGAACCCTTCCTTCCACATGGATTGAAAACAAACTCTATGGTAGAATTTCACATGCATTTACTAGATTCTAGCAACACAAAAACGTGATTTTTCTTCTGCACTGTCCTCAGACTCTGTAACCCCATTAGAATGTTTCTTGTCTGAATGAAATCAATCAAAATTTGCTTGGAAAGCTTTTTTATTTGTAACTGTAAAACTTTGCATCAGGACCATACGTTAGTACATTTTACAGCTATGTTTGAAATAAAAATTGAAAAAAAGGATGTGAAAATAAGTAAACTTACCAAATATGTATCATATGATAAAGAGAAAATATGCATCAGGGAAGTACACTCAGGGGATATTTAAATGCTAACAAATGAATATCCAAATACTATACTTTGGGGGGGGGGGGACTTCAAATGCATTGGAGTCTGCATCTCATTTAAGTAACAAATTTGTTCACACATTTCTAAGCATCTTTGAACTCAGTTCAGTAGCAGGACCCAATTTGTTACAGTTTTGTGTTTGTCAAGATGGATTCCCAAATCCCAGCTGCTGTTAACATGCTTTAGCTGCATAAGCTGTGTAATGTATCATGGAATTAGATGAAGTTAAAAAATACAGAAGGCAGTGGAGACTGAGCACATCTGTACAGTCTTTTGAAAATTAAATTGGTGACAGTTGTTATGACAATGCCCTCAACTGTTTTCACATCCTTTGTTTTTATCATGAAAATGTCAGCACTAAACTCTGATTGAATGATGTAGCAAATGTTTATAAAAGGAACGTATGCTTTCGTATTGTGATGGTGAGAGAGACAGTAAAAACGGTTCTTGCCAAAACTCCTATATTTTTGTCTCCTGATTAAATATTCTACGTGCTTTTGGCTATTTACTAATTTCAGAGATTATATTTTTCATTCTTCAATCTGTAAGACTTTTTAAGAAGCTCAAACTTTTCCATTGTTCTGTGTACTTGTAATTCACAAATAGGTTTGGAGTCCATTTTTTCTCTACATATTAAAAGTAATTTTCATAAGTAGGTGTCTCAAGACAGGTTCTTACATAAATTTTGGGTACTTGATGGTCTGTTTTTCAAAAGAGATTGAGCAATCAACAGTTTCCACTGAGGTCAGTGACAGATGCTATATGCTTCACCCTTTTGAAAATCTGACCAGTTATTTAGGTGCCTAAATAAGCAATATCAAGCTTCTGTTTTTGAAAAATTTGTCTCTGTTTTGGTTCTTTCACATATATAGCTGCATCCTTAAGGTGCTAAACAGTTTGGTCCTTGCTCTAGGAAAGCACTCATGAAAAGCTCCATTTGCATCAAAGGGAGTAATCATATGCTTAAACTTATGCACCTGTTTAACAGTGCATTATTGGATGGATTTAACAGCCCCTTATTGGATCCATCCCATTGTGCTCCTGGGCTTTCCTAAAATTAAGCAGATGTAAGTTGGGGAGTCATAATGGTGACATAAATTTCATCCAAAACCTGTCAAAGCCAATGGATAGATATCCATTTACATAAATGGAAATAGTTTTATTGATTTCAATTAACATTAGATCTTGGCCTATGCCTACAAAGGTTTATTACTGCTTGGTGCACTTCCTGTACAGGAAGAACTTCTTCTTGCAAAACAATTTGCTATAATGTTGTCATGGAAATATGAAATTGTGAGAAGTTGAAGGCTTATCAGGTGAAAAAAAATAGCTTTTATTATGCACACACATACAAACACACACTTTTTTAGCAAGGGAGCAGTTTATTTTTTTCAAGGTGCTTGCCTTCAACAGTATTTGTATTTCAGGCATTTGAACACAGTTTATATCAATTTATTTGGGACAAAAACCAGTGGACTGACTTAAAATATTGAAGGGAGTTTTGCCAAGGGCCTTACTGTCTGCACGTGAAGTTATGGTTCTTCAGTGCAGAAAAAATTATCTGTTTTCATTTTTAGGCATGTCATACCCGAACTGGCCTGAGGAGAGCCCCGTTCCACTCACAAGATTCGATGGCACTAACTCTGTGTTTTCAAGATATGCAAATGATAGTGTTTATGCTAACTGGATGGTTTCACCCTCAGCGGCAAAATTTATGGACAAGTTTGATAGTTAAAAATGTCTTGGTGAAAGGTAATGGACTCATGAGGGGAAAAAACTTGCAAAGAATGCAAAGTCTATTGGCTCGTTCTTTGTGTATTTAAAACTGGTTAAACCAACTGATTTCTGGAGTAGCAAACTCTTTTTTTCTTTTTGGTAGTTCTAAAGTGGCGTTATTCATGATGAAGAATATAATAGATGATTTCCCCTTCCACAAGACATATCAAACCAATAAGAGTTGTAGTTCTAGTACTTATTTTTAGCCTGCCATTTTGCAAACAGTCTACTTTGGTAACTGTTTATTGCAAATGGCCATGAACTTCATGCTTACAATAATTTTAGGTCAGCCATCCTATATTGCAATTTTATTGGATGGGAAAATGTTCTTGTACTTGAACTGCTCCTTCTTATGGTGGTGGTGAATAAAAGGCCACTTGATCTAATCAGGAAGCACAAACAGTAGATGTAGGGTGTTGGGGGGTGCGGGTGGGAATTCTTCCAAAATTGAGCTTGGTATAGAATCAAGAGCATCACCATGATTTTGGCATTAATGAAGCCTTTATCTTGGTTTGAAAGCAAATATTAAGTAACTCAGTAGAGAACTTGATATTTAACATCAAAGTCTTGTAAAAATGTATTGTTTTGTCTTAATGAGAAAAGAGTTTGTTTTATTAAGTTTAAACTATTCTTACCTTTAGCACAATGGAAATAAATTTGATATAGGATATATTATATAGACTGATATCAGTCAAGAGTGCTCATTTGACATGATTAATTTCCATTACATCCATTTTACTTGCATTAAATTGTCTCTTGTACATTCATGATTCCTTCCATGAATTCAAAATTTTCTTTACAGTCTACTGAACTGAGTTAAAGCAAATAGATATTGTTTACACTCATGTTCGGTGAGTTGAAGTCCTCCTCTCCATTAAAATCTGATTTTACAGTTCAGTATATTGCCAGAACAGGACATGTTATTGACACAGCTCCACATAAAACTTTAATTTTGCCAGAGTATGAGTAGGCAACATGTGTACATGGCATAGTTTGTCTGATGCTTTTGTTATTAATGGATTAGTTATACCATACAGTCAAAATGTCACCCAGATTTGTTAGGGGTACGTTAAAAATAATTAAAAAAAAAAAGATGTGCTACAACATTGACTTGGTGTTTAGGTGAATGATCTGACTCTTATAGAGCTTGTATGGAAGGCTAGATGGTCAGCACTACTTTTCTGTCTTTTATTTGTAAATTAATACCTGTGGAAGAGATTTTGTTTGTTTGTTTGTTTTTTAAAGATGTTAGAACATAAATCCTGAACGCTTGTTATTATCCTTGTGATGACTATTCTTAAATAATCCAATTATACCAAAGCGTGCTCCTATCTCTTAAATTCCAGCCTGTCTGTTTTCACATGTTGTTTTTGTGTGTCAGCACAATGTGTGTCCATTAAAGTCTGTTATTTAAGAAGCAAATGACTCAGATTGCCAAAAACTTAACCCAGGTCTGCAACAACAAAAAGTATATATGTAAAGCACTATGTTAGAATTTATGCACTGGTTTGTAAAGGAGTATTGTATTTTATTATAACTCAGTTTTGGACAAGCAGTAGCTGTGTGAATTTTTCTTTATGCAAGCTAATAATCACTCTAGGGTACTATGTGCAAAGCATAAAGATGCAGACTTGCATACAAAGAAAGATGTCTGAATTTTAGTTGTGATCTAACAGTTGCTTTTCAAATGGCTCTGAACAGTGTGACCCAACCCTGGTTACGTTGTAAAAATGCACATCAAGTAACTATAAAATAAACTGTATAAAAAAACTAAACCCATTAAATGGGCTTTTTCTTCACTGCCATCAAGAGAAAAATTACACGTGAATGCAGTGAGAACAACAAAAAAGGGAGGTCTACGAGGGAGGTAACAGCTTCAGCTGAAGCTTTCAGAAATGCTTAGCAGGTTTGTCCATACACTCTCTTCCCACAGTTTCAGCTCATCTTTGGGAGTTCTGAATATTTTAATGGTCATAGTCCAGGGGAGCAAGGAGATTTTTCCAAACTAGGAATGCTTTTTCATCAGCTACAGCAAGTGACAGTGTTCCATTGCCACAGATGCTTTATTCCAGTTTCTGATATGACAGACCCTGTGACAAGATCATCACTCTAAGGTAGGTGAGTGTCATTGTAAAAGCTACTGAAATAACTAGCCAATAGAGAAAGTCTAGTGTCGTGGTATTTCAAACTCCGAACAACTTCTGTTGTTAATTCAACAATTTATCCCTGTAGAAAAACATTCACATAATTTAAGTCTGTGGAGATGCAAATATAAATGTAGTATATAATGTACAAATGCAAAGGTAATTAGAGTTTCGCAACACACAATTTCCTTCAGCCTCAAGTAGAACCACTTGATTAATTTGCAATGAACAAATGATACTCTTTCTTGCTCATAGAATGCCTAAGAAAGTAGATCATGGCATTCATGCATGCATTCATTATTTGACAGTTTCTCTTTGTACCCTGTATATTCCTTGTACGTGATTCTCCTAGCACTGGAAAATTGTTTCATTTTGGTTACTTGTGATTAGTAAGACAAATCATATGATGTTATAGTTTGCTGATTGCCCTCAGACATGAATTCAAACAAAATGCAAGAACAACCTAAGTGAATTCATATTTGAGGGAATATTCACAGAAAACTCCTTCCAGCTCTACCAATGTGACAAAAGCAATAGATCATTTAGGCAGTGTATGTTTGAGGTTTGGGGCAAGGGGACCAAGTCTAGACAGGGGTGAAATCCATGATTATATTTACCTGTGATCGCCACATAGAGAGAAGTTTTTAATGTACACTTCTGTGTGCAAACTTTTTATCTTACATGCAATCCTTAGAAAACCCCATTATGTAAATGTATAACAGCTAACAGAAGAGACTGCAGCCATTGCATTCTGTCATATAATTTATACAATATTGAAAATAAACATTTCTACCCATTAAGTCATGAGAAGCCCAATATAGTCGTCCATATTTTTTATGCATAGTATGTGTTGTGTGTGTGTGTGTGTGTGTGTGTGTACACATACATATATATGTGTGTGTGGAGTTATATGCAAACACACATACATGCAGGCAAATAAATACAAAAGCACTTGACAATGTAAAATGTAGGGCACATTGTGGGGCCTGTCTTTTAAAAATAGTATTCCAAATTATGAAGTAAAACTGCTTTTGTATTAATTGCTTGTTATACATTTTTGAGTGAATTGTATTTGAATAATGTAAGCATTGAACTATTGCAAGCTTGAATGTTCTTTAAAAAAAGCTTGATTCAGAATGACCCAACTTGTTGTTTTGTTTTGTTTTCAATACAAAATTTTGGTTCTATTTAAGAGTCTGAAAAGCTGCAGCTCCTAGATAATTTTTGAATCTATTATAGAGGCTATAGTGAAAATAGTAATAAACTTTTATTTAATTTAGCCAGCCACACTAAACTAACTTTGATATTTAAAAAGTGCATTTGACTGAAATGCAGACATTAGCTTTTCAGAGATGCATTACATTGTTGTGAAGTTATTCCAACTCAAAATGGACTTTTCATGCTGCCAGTCAAATGAGTGTGTGGGAAGGTGTGGTGGTGCCTCTATATAGCTTTCTATATATAGTTTCATAGTAGCTAGGGTCAGGAGGGACCTGAACAGATCATCTAGCCTGACCCCCTGCCACAGGCAGGAATGAATGCTGGGTTCACAAGACCCCAGACAGGTGATCATCCAACCTCCTCTTGAATTTGCTCAAGGTAGGGGAAAGGACCACTTCCCTGGGAAGTTGGTTCCAGATTTTGGCCACCCTAACTGTAAAATATTGCCTTCTGATCTCTAACCTAAGCCTATTCTCCATCAGCTTATTACCATTGTTCCTTGTCACCCCAGGTGGTGCTGGGGAGAAAAGGTCTCTACCTATTTGCTGTTGATCTCCCCGGATGAGTTTGTAGGCAGCCACCAGGTCCCCCCTCAGCCTCCTCGTGCTGAGGCTGAACAGGTTCAGGTCCCTCAGTCTTTCCTCGTAGGGCCTGTCCTGCTGCCCCCTCACCAAGCAGTTATACATTATATACAATATACATTATTTGTATATATGATAATAATACTTCATATAAAACGTGGGTTGAGATATAGCATGTATTAAATGTGTGTAAATATACTGAAGTAACAGATTAAACGTATACAATGTGGGTGATTGTATACATAGCTGATGCAATTGCCTAATTCTGTTTTTCCAGCCAAACACTCTCTGAAAACTGTGGTTAAGTTATATCTGTATAAAAGCTGCAAAAAAAAACAGTCAACACTACTATTGCTATTAGAAGCCTTGAAAATTACAACAGTGTTTGTGATATTCCATACTATAATATTCCAGTTTATAGCTGGAATATATTGCAAATTCTGTTGCATTGTTAATTTTAACTACAAAGGCTGACTAATTTTTCTTTTAGTGGTGTACTAGTACTAAAGCAAAAGGTGTCAATAACATTAGTAATGCAAAAGTTATGGGTTAATGAAGTAAACGATTTGATGTGTATTAATATTATCAGTGTATAAAAATGTTTAGATCCCACTTTTAAAATCTACATATAGGTAGAAAAGAGAACCGGTGATATAATTTTGTAATCATTAATATTGCATAGTGCTTTACAAAGAGAGACAAAGATTAAAAACATTAGCATATTAGCACAGATTTTCAGGATAAGAATGCAAAGTTCACTATTTATATTTACTAGCTTTTATAATATGGCAATACATGTTTTCATCCTATAAAAAAGCTAAATATAGAACCACGTATGTGTGAGGATTGGTATGAATGTGTGTGTGGGTATACTTTTAAAATAATGTCCATTTTTCACAGTTAACTATAACATGAAACAAAAATGTATTTTGTTACACCTATTTTCAAACAACAGGCACAATGTTTAAAAATTAAACAGTGGACCATCATAATTAATCAGATGCACAAACTGTCCACTATATCATAAACTGCCTTTCCACCCTTTCATTATAAATTTTCTTTCCATAAATTCTCCTTAAATTGCTTACGGGGGTGTAGGTTGTAGCGGTATTGATCTAAGGACATAAGCAGACAAGGTTCTTTGGGTGAATTTGATGTGTCTTATTAGACCAACTTCACTAGTTGGAAAAAAAAAATGTTAAGCAAGTTTTCGGGTTTAAAAACCCTTCGGCAGGCTGAGGAACTTTCTGCAGTTGATATGTGCTCTTCCTGGATGGAATGAAAAGTAAAGAAGCCAGAGGCTGGGCTGCTATGTATACAAGATAGGCAGTCAGTGAAGATATAAACTGAGGAGTCAGTGGGTGAGAGACAGGCTGGGTGCAGCTGTAAGATCCAGGAATGCTGATGGCTCTGTTGTGGGGTGTAGTAATTATGGGGGTGGTGGAGATGACCA